AATAATTATATATATAATATACATTGTTTTAAATCAGTTTTTTGTTAGACTTCGACATGTAAACGAAAACCTTGCGAATAGGTGGCACTCTTTGGGTAGTCTTGCGTTTTAAATACTTAAAATCTCAGAGAATGCAATGCTGTAAAGTAAATATCTTTCACATATATCTTTCATATCTTTGAAAAGTTTTGGTAAATGTTTTTTATACCTATAGTGTGAATAGATTTTAATTAATCTTATATTAAATTAAAGGACACTCTTTTTTCTACGCGTAGAATACATATTTAAGTTATAACTCGTTATTAAAATGTTTATCAAATGTCGGGGAATGCAATGCTTTATATAATGCATCTTTGGAATTTCTTTGAAAAGTTTGGGTAATTAATTTTTATACTTATTATAAGTGTTTGTGAATTTTATTGACTCTTATATTAAATGAAAGTAATTCCTTATATATATATATAAGCAAAAGATAATTGAATTATATATGTACCGTCAAAGCGGGAAATCAAGCAATACTAGTAAATCCTCGGAATAACTATGAATATGAAGAGCCTGTAGACGAAGTCGGAAATTGAAAAATTCTTTCAATTTTACCTATTCATCGAACATAATACTTTGATATTCTAAAGAATATCAAATTACTATTTAAACAACGTTGAAAAGAATACATCCTCGAACACAGAACGGTCCCAACCCCCCCCCCCCGGCAAACACACCGCTAACTACTCCCATACACATACACAAAAACGTGCATACTGGGGGTTGTTAAGACTGGCTGTCCCTATAACGGAAAACTTGTATTCTTTGTCCTTTATCGTATCGGAAGATGAGCAAGTTTAGAATGAAATGTTTTATACGTGCATTTTATTAAAAATCATTCGAAGAGCATACTAAGAAACAAATATTCTTATAACTAATTAATAACCTTTACTGCTCCGTGAATTCTTGTGTGCGGGTTTTTATACGTGAGTTTATAAGACTGTGCGCACTTGTAGAAATTGGAACTTATTCTATACCGGTGTGTTATATATATATTATGTGTGTATATATATTATGCAACTTTAAAATATTAAATATCCATTATTTTACTTTAATAATAAATTAATTTTGTTCTAGTTAATTTAAAAAAAATTGATTCTTATTCAATTATGTGTAATTTCTGGTACTTAAATAAAACATCGATTTTTCTTTAATTGGAAGGCATTTCCGTTAATTTCATAAAAAAAATGAATTTTTGTTCAATTGGGAAGGATTTCCATTAATTTCAGTAAAAAACCGATTTTCGTCCAATTAAGAAGGGTTTCCGTGATTTACGTAAAAATATCGATTTTCGTTAGATTTGGAGGAATTTCCGTTAAAATACTTCATTTTTTATATATGTATAGTAAATACAAAGTAGAATAAAGATAAAAGATAAAAGTGGTCGAGTAAAAAGGTAAGACCATAAGATGTATTACGAAGTTTCTGCTTTTGTTTGATATTATTTAATTTCTTAAATGCAAAGTGTTAATAATAGGTTCATCGATTAGATCAAATATCTGTTGAGGCATTCGAGTAAATGTTAAAAAAGCCTCACAGCAGTGTTTAGGGCATGCAGAAAGAAGAGGCTAAATGCCGAAGAGGCCCCCACTTAATTGTGGCTGAAGAGGGCAACTACATAGACTATTGAGTTATTTTCAAAGGTTCTACAGCAAGTTAGAACTTTTCGAGAGTCATATTTTATTATATTACTTTTTTGCTCGTCAATAATTTGTAGTTGTAATTGGAGATGATGGACCATTCCATCTCCTTGGAACACCAAATTCGTGTCTATATCGTCCAAAAGATGCATATGTGTTAGAGTCAAAAATATTAATATTTTCGTAATATTAATTTTTAAAGCTTAAATAACGTTCGGTAAATATTACAGTAATTTCTTTTTTCTTGTATCGTCTTTAAAATTTATCATTTTGATCGTATTTTATTAAATTTGCAATTTTTCTTTTCTATATAATGCAGCTTAAAAGTATTCCATAATAATTAATAGATATTATTTTTTGTAGTAACTTAATATTTGTACTTTTCCTATTTCTTTATTTTTATATATTTTATGTAAATGTAAAATCACACGTTTAAATTTAATTTCATTACAACGGTAAATAGAAATTTGATAAAAATAAATAAAAAATTCTGTTGAAAAGTGCATCTGCGAATTGGATGATTTGTATGTTAGGCTATTGTATCACTTGATTGTATAATTAATATAGTTTTCTTTTTAGAACAGGTGATCATCGTTGGATTTATCATCTACTCGTTTTGATTTATTTCTACTTTTTAAAATATATATATATATATATATATGTATAAAAAACGCATTTCTGAAGGCACACATGTATTTTGACATTAAAAATTAAATACAATTATTTTAAATTTTCTTACAATGTATAACTATACTATATATATATATACTATCAAAGAATATTTTATTAATATTATATTACAAACAAAGTGTAATAATTATTTTCAACTAATTACGCTAAATAAAAAATATTTGATAAAATAAAGTTGAGGAGCCGGACAAACAAAAAGTCAGCAATTGATTCAAAACAAATAACAGTAGAAAACTTCATTGTTTTCCTTAGAAATGAGAAAAAAACTTTTTTTATTTTCAATTATTAATAACTAATTAAATAATAAATAAAAAAATGTGCAATTAAGAGTACTTATTTATTTTTTTCTGCTGTTGAGGTTTTATGCCAATTTTTCTGTGCTATATTTTTTCTTTTTTAGTAATGATCTCTGTTATTTTGGCATTTTACCTTTTTCTCATATTGTTTTTATAATTCTTCCAGGATATTTCACCCTTTTCTCCTATGTAAAGTCATGTTTAATTCAGGACGGTGTCTTTCCCAAGATCTTCGTTTTTTTCAACATTTTTATCTGTATTTTTATTTCCCAGTATTATATACTTCTCTCTTCATCTTCAAAACTTTATATTAAATATTATTAATTACTAATTAAGACTTTATTATTTATAATAACATTAAACTTTTTTTTTTTTTAAATATATAGAAACATATAAAAAAAAATTACAAAATTATTTTTTTCGACTATTCTAATTTAGTGACGCCATTTTTTATTTAAAGAAACCAATATTTTAAAGAATAAAACTTGTTTTTAGTATAAAAAAGTAAAAGTAACGTATATGTTATCAAGAATACGTCTGAATTTGAGAGTAATTCCTTACAAGCGAGAGAGAGAGAGTTATTTACTTTAAACATATATATAATAATTGAATATATTAAGAGCTCCTAGGTGTATTTATATACTATGAAAAATTTGTGTTGAGAATAAAATGATTAAAGTGCATGACTAAAAAAAGGGAAATTTTATATCATACAGACTAGAAATATAACTTTGATTTATCGCGTTAAAAATCGTACAAAAAAATCTGTTAATTTATGAATTTGAAATAAACTCTATTTTATAGTTCATCTTAATAAAATCATTTTTTTTTTTTTTAAATATTATTATTAATAAATATGAAAAAAATAATTTTCCTGGCTTTATTTTATCAGCCAATATTTATGCAATCTAAAAATTGAATTTTAAATAAATAAATATAGCTCGTAATAAAAAAGGGAAAGATTAATAATTACTCAATCAGAGTTTGCAATTAGGTTAATAATGCTTTCGTTGACGGTAGAAGATATAAATATTTCTCAAAAAGTTCACGTTCACTCTCTTCTTGTTCATTATTCGTCTGCTGACTCTACAAAGTATAAAAATAGTAATTAGTAAACAATTTTCTATTTAAAATAATAATAGTAACAATTTTCTAAAATAATGTAGAAAAAATATAATATCTCACCAGGTCTTCAATAGCATGTTCACTAGTATGTTCCTTTAAAATCTTATGATACAAAAAAATTGTAGAAGAATTTTCTTTCAATAAAACTCTCATTCGTTGCAAGAGATGTGACATTTCCACAAAAAATTCTTTCTTCGGTTTAGGTTCGGATCGTGTAGTTTGAAATAATGAAGGAAGAAGAACAAATAATCCATGTTGATCAAATGTTTTTCTTTGTTCGCAAATAGTTTTCACAACAGAAAACCTCGAAAGGGGCTCGTTTTCATCGTAAAACGAAAAAACGACAAAATGTTCGAGTAACGGACAGAGTTTTCTAGATTCTTGGTCAAGTATTTGAGTGATCGTGGTTGTAATTAATAAAGACGACGCAAATTCTTTACTTGTTCTATGAAAATCAAAAATAGCACCGAGTTGACCTACAGAGGAGGCTTCCTTTAATAATTTATGCACCGTTGTCGCGTTCGTTAGGTCAACTCCAACTCGTATGGTAATCTTTACTTCACGTTCACATAATTTCTTTAAATAAAAGATTTCTTTCTTCTTGGATGTCATTTTAGAAACTACAAATAGCTTGGTAACACCTTCATCGATCATCCATTTCATCAATTGCATACCAAAGATGTCTAAGCCTTCGACGATGAAGTAACACTTGTTCTTATCAAAGCACAAATGAGGAACAACTTGGATAGATTTGATCTGTTTGAGTGGGTTAATGAGTACCTAAAATAAACATATTTCATTTATACATTGATTGTATAACTACCTAAGATAATAAATTCTATACGAAAATCACTTACTTTTCCAAAACGTTCGCAAACTTCTTTGTTTCTTTCTTCTACAGTTCCTTGAAGATAAAGTCTTCGCGATATTATCGGTTTTAAATTACCCGCCTGTAGAGCTGTTCTCATCATGCTCGCTGATTCTCTTTTCATTTTCGGTGACAACTTAAAAAGGTCTTGTAAACAGAAACTATACAAACTTAAATGCCTAATAAAATTATATATTGGTAAAGGATTGTAATTAGGCTTTTTACAATCGTAGAACATTGACATATGTTTGAAATCTTTAACAATGTCCAAAGAAGATTCAATATCGTTTAAGATGGAATAGTTGGCAACAACGAAGTCCAAGCCTTTGTTCTTCGTAATATTTAGAATATCAATTTTATAGTATTTAACATTAATAATATGTGACTGTGGTAAACGTGGTCGTATCAACTCGATGATCTGTTTTTCAGCTTCCGTTTCATAAGTAGTATAAACATCAAAATTATACGACAAAGATAAATTTATGAGAGCTTGTCCTACGTCACTAGCACCAAAATGTACCAGAACAGTTTTTATGTATTTAAACCTAAAAGTATTCGAATGTAAAATGCAGAAAGCTGCTAAATAAGCTTGAGGAATTGTTGCAGCATCTTCGAAGTTCAGATTGTCTGGAATAATCCAAGTGAATTCTGGGTCGGGAATAATCTCATTACTTATAGTGAAATTGTCAACAAGTCCCATTACTCTAMGACCATTTTCATCTGTTCCTGAATATTCTACAATTGATATGTGTGATTCTAAGCTAATCTCATTTTGTAACAAGTACTCGTAAACATTTAGATCGAATGCAGCACACTCTACTTTTACGATGCTTTTATTTGGCTCTTTAGTTAATGGTAATTCTTCCATCCAGGTTATTGTACCTGATTGTTCAATTTTTCCTCGCCAGCGCGAAGAAAATGTAGATTTCTCTGTCAATGGCATCCATCTGTATGTGCCCCATACTCCGTTTGGCGATAACACGTTTTGATGAAAATTTAATTTTATTTGATTTTCATAGAATTTATTTTCAAGTGAAAACTTCGGTGCCTTTGCGTCTTGTAAATCGAAAATGCGAAGTTTCTTATACTCCGGCTCTTGTTTTAAATCTCGAAGTGTTTCAAATATATTATTTTCGACGGTAGTGTTGACCAAAAATATAACATTGCCATATTTCGATTGTCGTAAACAAGTTTTTAACTGATCGATACAATTTTTTTTATTTTTAACGACAATTGCTTGTTTCAAATCTTCTTCCTTTTTTAGAAGTAAGGCAGTACGATGAAGAGTTATTTTTATCTTCAAAAGGACGAATAATCCTGTACTTTTCAACATAGCAATCGCATTATCTTCATCTTCCATTTTTATAACAGTCAATAGAAATGATTCTTTACTGATATTAGCAATGATATGACTTATATCTTTAAATAAATAATACTCGATAATCATCAAAGTAAAATTTTCATCGTGTATTTTCTCAAAATGTGTTTTATCAATGCATTTTAATTCAAACTTAAACTTCGTCATTTTCGAAAGGTTATCGAGACACTCGAAAATATTATTATGATCGTATCCTGAATCTTTTATTATAATCATTCTCTCTGTAGCATTTTCGCTAATATTTTCGGATATTATTCCTAGTACAACGTGTAAAGCGTTATCTATATTCATCTCCGTTTCATTTACATTCGGAATAAATCGAGCTTCATCCGCTAATAACTCAATGCTTGTGTCTTTAGTTACTATTTCTTTAAGTTGCATACCGCTTACTTCGATACCTGTGCAAGTTATTAAGTTGATCTGTGTTTGGTATTCCATCGGTAACACTAAAAAATAATTTCCTGTTATGTCTATATGGGATATCAACAAATCAAATATAGATTTCAACCCCTTTTACCATTTCCATCCCTCAACTCTTCTTCCAATTGTTTCAAGTTAATTACGATCTTTTGTATCTTATTAGGCATTTGTATCCGTTTATTATTAGTATTAAAAATTAGTACTTGAAACAATCCTTCCATCATAGATCTCCAATTGTTTTTCCACTTTAGTTGTCCACTTAAAGAAGTTAAAGATACTCCATTGACGAATTTATAAGATTCTCCATACTTATAACCACGAATAAGTAGATTCGCATAAAAATCTTCCTTCGTTAATATTTCACTTTCTTCTTTAAAAAAGTTTTTGTCTAACAATGAATATTGTTTTGTGTAGTGACTTGTAAAGTATATAGTTCCAGTAGCTACGATAGTCTTATTATTCATCATTACTTCAAATTGTCCTGACGCTAATAATGAGCGGAGTTTATAAATTTATTAATATTGCAGAAAAATGTATATGAAATATCTTTCCTATAATTACCTACCTTTCATAATAATAATTGTCAAATGAAGTTTACCACTTTTTGGTAATTTTAATAATAAATTATGAATTATAATGTCCTCAAATATGAGAAAATGAGATTCTGTCTTTCTTCGATGCAAATAAACATCTTGAACAAGCCATAAATAAAGAGTGTAAGGTATTATGATATCTTCACCAATTTTAAAATCGCGTAAAAATTTATATTCATTTAATCTCAAGTCTAAAATAAATGTTTTTTCTAAAGATTTTACTTCTCCCGAATCCTCGTAGTAGTTCACATTCCTATGGTAAATAAACGGGAAGCATTAATGTTTTATGCATACTGGAAGTAAAAGTAACTAGCATACTTACCAATCAATACTATGTTCCCACCGCATTAGCGAAGAAATCGACGGGGTACCTTTACATACGGGGTATGAAACTTGCGGATAAAGATTCCCAACTTGTAGAGGAATTCCAAGATTATAAAGCTTTCCTAGTGTGGATAGAAGTAAAATTGCATTGTCCTTATGGCCTCGTTTTGTTAATGATAAATTAATGATATGGCTGTTCAATGATTGTGCAAGAATAGCCTGAGGAATACAAAGTAATTAGTTATGCAATATAATTAACTTTAGTTAGAATATTTTTTCTAATATATGAACCTGTAGAAGTCCGTGTGGAGAAATTTCAACGGTTATAGCGTTTTTCGATATCATGCATAATACTTCTTCGAATAATACGGGAGAAACGAGATTATTCGTATGATATTCCGGCGAAGAATAACGAGCTTTCGGTAAATACCATTCGTCTTTCGGAAGAGATGTGCATATCCAGCGTTTACTGCGTTTTTTTGGTTGAGATATGATTTTCTTTAAGTAATTCAACATCTTTGGACCCACTGAGGAAATGTAACGACTATGATACGCCTTATTACCGGTTTGTACGGTTTTAGCAAATATTCCTTTACTCTAAAAAAAAAATTAATGTTATATTAAAAACTTTATTATAACGATTTGTTTATTGGAAAATCATTTAAACTTTACCTGCAACTGTTTGACAAAAGTTTTGACAGATTCGGAAGGTCCACTTATAGTAGAACTTTGCGGTCCATTGTGACAAGCAACATCAATGTCTTCGGGAAGAATATGTCTAATTTGTTGATAACCAAGAGCTACTGCAGCCATCGCTCCGTGTATCAATTCAGTTTCTTCCGAAGCCAAACCTCGAGAGAGAGCGCATAAAATCATTTCCTCCCGCGTGAAGCAACCATCGGCGTATGAACAACCCAGCTCACCAACAGAATGTCCGATCATGTACTGCGGTTTTACTCCAACTGCGTATAAAATATCCACCAGACCAATCTACATACCAATTGTACAAAATCGTTTATTCGGGAAAGAGAAAGAATAAACACTGTTAGCGGGAAAATATCAGACATTTCATTACTTGTATAGCTGCTATTCCCAGAAAACTGTTTATAATATTGTCGTATATAGTTGGATCATTGTCACATATAATATGCATAATATCATAACCTCGAGGTTTTAATACTTCGTCACATTTTTGTATTGCTTGGGCAAAGATTGGTATTTTCATTAGAGATTGACCTAAAAAACAATTGCATATCGAATTTTTTTCCATAAAATATCCGTTTAATTATTTAATTTTAATATTTTGAATACCCATTCCAGTCCATTGTGAGCCCATCCCCGAAAAAACAAACCATAAATTTTTAGATGTTTCGTCAACAGGTGTAATTTCTTCCAAAATTTTTTCTGATCCCGTTACTTCTGTCGATGGCAATAATATGTATCCACGATATAGAGAGTTATTTAATGGTTTCATCATAATATCGTTGATTAACTGCATTAATTCCACGTCGGCATTGTTTGTTTTTAACTAAACGTAAAGTATTCATGAATAATATTTAACTTTTAAATCGTATCGATTAATATATGTATTCTTGTAACAATCAATTAACGACATAGCCACGTTGGATTTCTAGTTTCCGTCATATAAAAAATCGTATGATATTGACTTGAGAGAGTTGGTAATAAAATATGATCTCTTTGATAGTATTGAATAGGTAGGAGAAATTGTTCGTAGGGAAATGACTCGAACCCGCAAAAAAAAAAAGTAAAACAACGTAATGTACATTTACACAACTATACTTACAGAATTAAAGATCAATGATAACATTTCTTTATTTCGAGCAGAGCATGTAAAAAGTCGAGGGAAATCTTGCGTTGGCAGCTTTTCCTTCTTCTTATTTTTCGAATGACGTTTTAAGATAATGTGGGAAAAGACACCGTTGATAGAGGTAGTATTCACGGCCGCGTAACCTTCTGTCCAATGTGTTGGTTTCGTTACAACTTTTACGCGTCCGTCTTGAAGACATTTAGCATCTTCCGGAGGTTCATCGTAATGAAGATTTGGAGGTATAATGTCTTTCTCCATAGCCATGATTACCTAGAAATTCGACGTTAATTTTATGCGTAATTACTAATCGATGGAATAATTGAAATATTTTGAGAAAATATTTACCTTTATAATTGAATTTATTGTATTAGTACAACTTGTATGACCAATGTTTGATTTGACCGATCCAATTAGGAGGGGATTAGAAGGGCTTCGATCCTGTCCGTAAACAATATCGATCGCTTTTAGTTCTTCGCGATCTATTCTCTTCACTGCCGTACCATCGGCCTCGATATAAGTAACGTCGCTCGGTTTTAAGTTACATTCTTTTAAAGTCTTTTTCATTATCTGCGCTTGGAACTCTGCAGAACTGAGCATCATACAGTTATCAAGTATATATTCGCCATATTCCACATTTATAGCACTAATCTCTGCGTAAATACGCTTCGCATTTTTGGCTTTTTGCAAAAAGAGCACACCAATTGATTCGCTGCGCGAGAATCCCGAAGCCTTTGCATCAAACGATCTGTTTATTCCGTCTGGTGATAATAATCCTAAAAATTGATTTATCTCCAATTTTTTTTAGTTCTCAATATCTTATTTAGTATATTTTATTTGTTTATAAATATTTATTACGTTGTTTACCTAATTGTTTGAACTGATAAGAGATGTTCGGATATAAAGCAAGAATTCCAGCATCAACGATTGCAGCTTCGCATTCACCACATTTTAAAGATTCGAATGCTTTTTTCAAGGCTGTTGCACTTCCGGTGCATTCTGATTGAATGGTACAGCTTGGACCTAACATATCCAAAGTAAAGGATATTCGATTTGCTGCCATTGTACGAGCGGATCCCAGCATTCCTAAACCATGTGGCTATAACGATGAACATTAATTTTCAATTATTACTATCTAATCGGGAATATGAGTTTAATTTACTAACCTCGTATTTTTCATAAAGAATACTTTTGTCTGATTCTTGGTAAGACAATGATGCAAACACTCCAATTTTGGTATTACGTAGTTCTGAAGGATTAAATCCGGCATCAGCGACCGCTTCAAAAACTGACGTTGTTAACAATCTGGTTACTGGATCCATCGAATGTGCGAGTCTCGTGCTAATGCCAAAGAAAATGTGATCCAACTTGTCGATTTCTGTCATTGTTCCCATACGGCGAGTTACTTGTTTGTATTCTAGAAAAATTCATTCGACAATACACAGTTTGTAACATTTTCTTAAGTACAATTAAATTCACCAATTATAATATATATATATATATATATATATTCTTACCTTCGGGCCATCTCGTGTGATTTTCCGTTGTACAATCGACACCATTAATAAGATTTTCCATGAGTTCATCGACATTATTACTATTAGGAAATTTTCCAGAGATACCAGAAATCACAATTACATCGTCATGCAAATTTTCTACAACCATATTGATTAATGGAATTACTTAGAAAGTAAAAAAATAAAACAGCAGAAGTACAAGTACGGTCTAATCTCAACCCAATCGCATTGTAAAATTTATTTTTCAAGTGCCGTTTTATACTTTCGCATCGATTCAAGAAAGGTGGGATATTCAGCTATTTGTGAGTATAATATTTTATAATTTAATAAATATTTCGTAAACTCATCGTTACGAAACGTTCGGGAGGAAACACGCTTCTTCCGCAATGTTTTGAATTTCATGTTTTTATGTATGGAAAATAACCAAGCGAGTTAAACGTAGTAATAAAATACAAATATATGACGTTCGCATTTGAGCGTGACTAGACACAATCTGTTTATTACCTAATAGTTTAGGAAAATTTAAGATTCTGTTTCCTGTTAACAATGTAATAGAATACTTAAACGAATATTCGTTATTTTGTAATTCTTGCGTAAGAATATAGAAAAATTTAATATATTAAGAGCTCCTAGGTATATTTATATACTACGAAAAATTTGACTTGAGAATAAAATGATTAAAGTGCATGACTAAGAAAAAGGGTAATCTCATTTGTTCCAATAGATGTAACATATCCACAAAAAATTCTTTCTTCGGTTTAAGTTCGGATTGTGTAGATTGAAATAATGAAGGAAGAAGAACAAATAATCCATGTTGACTAGATGCGTTTCTTTGTTAGCAAATATTTTAGTATTTTTTCAAGATGTGTTCTATCAATGCATTTTAATTCAAAGTTAGTCTGATGTGTTTAGAATACGGGAGGATCTGTCTCAGATTTTAAATTTCAAACCTTTTTAGTATATTCTATGAAATTAAATAAGAAAAAATGTTATGTAAACATAAGTCACATAGAGTTTTATTAAAAAGTTATAACAAAAATACAGAATAAAAATAATAGCAGCAATAATCGACTTGTTTATTATACGCATTTGCTCGAATAAATTTATGTATTTACTGATTGACATCGTCACTCCCAGGGTTAATTAATATTCATTATCAGTTTCAAAACGTTTATCGTTCTTGACATTAATTGATTGATATTGCTGCTCTGTTGTTGATCATTATCGAGTCAGGTCAAGTGAAAAAGGTCAAATTATTGTTTTGCCTTGCCTAATACATCTTAGATCTTCATTTAACTAATTGTAATTTTTCATTGTGTTTGCGCAATGTCTTGGACAACCATCTACCTACAACCAAACATTTTGATAAAACACTAGTGTTCTTTTTGTTTAATAATTGAAAATTATATGATAGAAATCTTAAAAATGATTTTTAACGAATTAGAGATGCAGTTGTAGAAATAAATAAAAATCGACAAGAGTTTGGCCATTTCAGAAATAGCATACTACAACAGTGTCATAACATTTTGAACAGCATATTTAGATAGTTTCACAATTTTTTTCTTATTTTTGAACGTATAATATGTTACAACGTTTGTACGAAAAAACCTCTAACAGCCTATATACATATTTTTGTTTTAATTAAGTAATGAAGTATAAATATTTGTAAGAATAATATTATTATAATTTATCCAATTTCATATATTTACTATTTCGATGAACGAATGCTGCTCGACAATGAGAGTCAGATAATATTTAATGAAGACGTAATATTACAACGCTACAATATGAATACAATTATAATCGATTAAAGAAAAAAAAGTTTAGTTTTTAAGAAATATGAAATTAATTAAATATTGTACTGAAAATTAGACAACGATGTATAAACTTTATCATATAAAGTATGATAAATATCTTCATTAATATTCATGTGTATATATAATTACGATTAGTAAAAATATCAACAATAATTATAAGTCGTATCATTATTTAATGGCCATATTTATTTCTTCAACAGTGGTTTTAGTCATTTGTAATTTCATAATAGTATTGAAGTCTCTACATAACCTAGATAATTAAATATAACATTACATGTACGAAGCAACGTATTTATTATGCGAAATAAAATTATATTGCTTATATTTAGATCTATGTATGCATTAAGTTTAGTTATGCAATGGGAATTCGTTTTTCTCAAGCTTAGCCCAGAGTACCAAATCGTTTGCAAATATATTGCGATATATTGAACATAATAAAAATTACAATATTAGAGCTAAGAGAGAACAAAGATGAGTTATATTAATAAATTATTATTATTATTGTATATTTATTATTATAAAAAATATTTATTTATATTTTTTAATATTTATTACTATGTAATTATGCAGTTCGATTATTTTTGTATTCGAGTTCACACATTCACCCATTCGAAAGCCCATTTGAAACATATATGACATATTACGTAGCTTACTCTATCATATATTTTTTTTTTTAAATTAACACTTTAGATTCTACTTAATATATTCTCAATAGGATTTTTTTAACTCTGTGTTAAATAATTTTTTATTTTATAAATAATTAATTGTAAAGAGAATTATTTAAATCAGTTGTATTTCAAATTTTCTATAAACACTATTTTAAATTTTGCGCTAAACGATCTTAGTAAAATGCTGCCATCGAGCGGTAGAGTTTGGCAGTTAGGATGTGCCTTAGTTTTGGATAATCGAAAATCATGAAATATTTCTATGTACCTATTATAAGAAAAGAAGTAGATAGATCTTATGCAGGGCTGTTGTACAAGAAATTTAGAAATTAATATTTATATCAAATAACGACTATAAAAAGTATATAAAAAAGAATTAACTGGATTGGAGTCATTGTTCCTGATTGAATATATTTTTATAAAAACAAATGGAAGAACAAAATCTTACAACAATACTAGTGTATAAAGAACAAGCAGAGAACACAATAAATCACTGTCAGCGCAGTCTTATGGAATCATCTGGTATGAACTCCATATTGATGAACAATTATAACGAAGATTCACCAAATTCTAAAAGTGTGCTTCATATACAAGATTCACGTAATTTAAAAAAAGAATTTCTACAGAACAAATTTACTAATCTGATTAAATTAGATTTAACTAATTGTTATTTAACAGAACTTCCCAAATATTTATGTCTATTAAAAAATCTACAACATCTTATTCTTAATAATAATGAACTTTCATGCTTACCAAATGTAGTCGGAGATCTGAAAGAACTAATATCTTTAAAGGTATATAATAACAACTTAAAAGAAGTGCCAGAAAATATTGGAAATTTATTAAATCTTGAAGATTTAGATTTAAGTTTCAACAAATTAACAGACATTCCATGCACATACAAAATATTGAATAGATTAAAATATCTTTCTCTAGCAAATAACAATTTTACATGTATTCCTAATTGCATTAAAACGGGAATGTCCAGTTTGGAAATGTTAGTTTTATCACAAAATAATCATATCATGTTGGATATTCCATTGTACAGTACAAATATTAAAAGATTTTATGCAAGAAACAATGATATTTGTTCGTTGTTTCCCAATTGGATATTTAATAAGAAATATAATCAATTAGAAGAAGTATTCTTAGATCATACGGTATTTAAAAACTTTTATTTTTCAAGCAAGAAAATACCAATTTCAAATATTACAAAATTGTCAATGATAGAATGTAAATTGACTGAACAACTTTTGAGTCAAATTTTTAAAAGGTTAGAGTCACCTGAAAGCTTGAACATTGGAAATGATGCATTAACAGCAAAAATAAATCTTTTTCGTTTTTTACCAATTCAGGATATAAATACTAAATCTAGCCTGAAGAAAATAAATATTCGTAAAACAAATATTGCCAAAATACCAAAATGCATAAATGAATTTCTGGCTTTGGTAACAATTGATATTAGTTATAATTATATCACTTGGTTACCTAATGAAATATGTGAATTGCACAATTTACAAAATTTGATAATGAATGATAATTTATTAGTTAGTTTGCCTGATTCTCTCGGTCAATTGGCTTCGCTTAAAATATTAAAGGCTAATAATAATGCATTATCTAGTTTACCAAGTTCTATAATACATTTAAATAATTTACAATTTTTGGACCTTTATAATAATGAATTGTTTATAGAAACAAATTCTATTATTAACATGACTACTTTACAAGGAATAGATCTCGAACAAAACTATTTGTTGACTAATGATTTACCGGTAAGATAATTGGAAAAGTATTTCTATTTAGAAAATTAAAAACAATAAATAATAATTAAAAAAAAATCTAATTTTTTATATTAATAAATTAAATTTTAAGATAGCATATAATTATGAACATTTAAGAGTTGCATTATTAGAATATTGGAATGAAAAATTTAGAGTAGTTGGTTTAAAGAAAGAAACTGTGTATGATGATGACAATAAATTTGACTCATTATGCACATGTGATACTAATGATGATAAGTATATATCACTTTTGTTTTCTATTGAACGTTATTTAATGGTTTTATTAGGTAATTAAAATCTTTGGTTAATTTTTAGATTATCAGAAGTACAGACTTCTTTTGAATGTCTTAAAGAAAATTGGGATGAATCAGATGATTCAGCAGAAGAATTCGATCCAAATGGTAAATTGATATCTTTTTATATATCTTTTTATCTCATTACTGTACTGTAAAAAGTATGTTACATAATGTATTATTTTAACAGAATGTTGGAAACCAAAATTGATACGATGTTCTCCACTCGTTGCTTATAAAAGAAAAACTTTAAGGGAATATTTTTGTCCAGCAGATTTCCACGCAAAGCCAATTTTAAAGCATGTTCAACAGATGATAGATAATGGTATTTTATCTTTGGAGACTGAATTTGAAACGGGTCAATTTGACGATGCATGAGATTATATATAAATATTTATATAAATATTTATAAATAATATTATATATAAGAGATATATAGTAAATAAAATATTAAATATTCGTGTTCTGTTACTATACACTTATTTAGATGTAAGTATTACTTTACATGAAAACTGTGATTAATTAAATATGAAAATCTTAGATATATATTTTTTTTACTCCTATCATTGTGTGCGAAAAAAATTGATACTGAAAAATATAATAAAGTCAACGAAAATTATGTTTTCAAATGATTTTCTTATTTGCATACATTTACGAGATATAATGTTATATGCTTATGAATGTGTGTATATATATATATATATATATATAATTTACTTAAAAATCTAATAATACCTTTCCTTGGTGTGAAATTAATTCGATAGTTTGAATATATTAAATGCCACGTTTAGATATTTGTTTTATGTAACAATCCAACATTTACAAATCGTTATCTCTCTACTAAAAAGTGCCTTTTGATTTTTGCTTTCGTTCAACTTTTAAACATTATACTTTGAACATGTTGTCATTTGTAATCAGCCGTGCATTTGCAACAATCGCAAATTGGATAATTCTTGTAATCACGCATCGTACTTGAACGAGTTCTTTTTCGGTCTAACTGCAAATATAAAATGAAAACATATTAAAGAAATACAAAATTTAATATAATAAATGAACATACGGGAGTTATGTAATCATACTAAAAATTTAATTTCGTTTACTTTTCCTTCGTCGAAATTTTTCATTTTTACGGATTTTCTTTTGCGTTTATGCTTTTTCCTTTTTTCCTTAACTTTCGAACTTGTCTTAATACATGAATCAAAATAATTCCTATCTTTCGTTTTTTCTTTCTTTTTTTTCTTTAAGAGTATTCGAGATTTATCTTGATCATTTTTCCGACCTCTGTGATATTTCGGAGAATAATGATCTAACGATCCACTTTCAATATCCACATCCGAGCAATTGCATGTGCAACCATTCGATTTTCCTTTTTCTTCGAGATGACTGAATTAAAAAAAAAGATTTACAAATATATCATATTTTCATTTTCATTTTATAGATGACACCATTGTTAAGAATTTAAATTATTTTAATAATTACATCGATCTTCCGTTCATCAATTTTGCACGTTTCCATTTACGAGTTATGCAAAGTAATATGATGCATGTAACAACGAAAAAAAAACCAAGAAGAAGAAAAAGATTCAACCATCGCATATTTGTTGAACTTCCGTTCGTATCAATTACTTGTTTATTTTCAGTCATTTCATTGGCCTGTTTTTCTTGACTATAAAATAGTATATGTATATAAAAATAATTAAATGATAAGTGTGTAACTATGAACGATACAATTTAAATTAACATACGATGTCTTTTTTTCATCGATCGGAGACACGTTGTGTTGATTTTCATGAATTTCATTCGTGCAATTTTCTTCCATTCTTTCATTCTTTTCTTTCTCATTATCAAAAGATGTTTTCTCCAAACTCTTATATGAATTTCGTTTTGAAATTAAATGAGTTTGTCCTTTGATGATAGCATTGAAAGATTTGATATTTCTACTTCTTGTTATATATTTTGCTAGATCAGGCCTTCCTAACATTCTCAAAGTCAGATCCATCGTCTCGCGAATATTAGAATTTTCTTCTCCTTTGGTTTTGTAACATACACATATTATTAACTGCTATTGTTTTTAACAATTATATGAATTTTCAAGAGATGATTTTTTTTTAAGCACTGGTATATATTAATAAATAAAATAATCGACATACGGTTACTGAAAGAAAAGACCTCAATGTTACATGAACTCTGTTTTACCGTATTAGCACCTAGGTAATTATGGTTCCAATTTTCAAGTTCAATTAAACAATCCCGATTAGTAATTCCATCGTTGTAAGAATATTCTCGTAGGATCCTTGTTGTCTGTATATCAGGAATATATTTCATCGAGGCGTTCATTATTTTTATTAATTGAAGACATTCTAAGGGATTTAGTCTCAACGATAAATATTCGAGTTCCTTTTGATTGAAACTTTCTTCCTCCATAATTGCATTAAACAAATCATATTTCTAATAAAATATTATATATATAATTTTTAAGTAATAAAATAAAAAAGTAATAAAGTAGTGTAATAAAACAGTAATAAAATAGTAATCAAAATAATAAAATATATATATAATTTTTTAAATTTACAGTAGAAGCGGGTACGAATACTCTTTTGGCTCACTATATATAAATGCATTTTAATTTACTTAATTTTTGCATTTAATAATATAAAAAGTCATAACCTATATTATATTATAAAAATCAATTCAGAAAAAGGATGTGGAGACAAAAAATTATTTAATAGAGGCGTAAGTAAAAATAGAAAATCAATATGTAACTTACTGTTATGAAAATAATTATTACAATATAAATGTTACGTACAAATCGCATAGTAGAAAAATATTTTAAAAAGTCAAAATTTTTTTACCATCGAGCATTATCCTTTTATTATTACGAAAAAAATAAACATTCGATAGGTAATATCTTCACGGTTAATGAATATTTTGACATTCAATAATTTAGGAATTGCGAATGGTATCGATACGTAATTTAAATTTTTTCATTGGTTTTTATATGTATATCCCCAAACACATCTGTGAAAATAAATTGTGAGAATATTTATATTTAGTGCTGAGAAGAAAGGTTAAGTTAGTAAATTAAAAAAAAATATTAAAAAAAAAAGAATTGTTACAGTGTATTTGTTGTTTTTATTCCGATTAAAATAAATAGTTAATCACAAATTATTATATCACGTATGTATACATTTGTTTAAGATAAAATATAATCATACAAATTATCAATAATCTCTTTTTAGATCCTTTAGATGGAGAAGAAGATCGGCAAGATTTTGTTTCTTTATTCAAAATGAATGAATTAAAAAAGTACCAAAATTTGCAAGCAAAATTAAATAATTTATTACAATTAAGCAGCACCGAAATCTTCTTTTCGTCAACGTCCAGCAAAGCTGTTCAAAAATCGTCGACTCGGTGTGTATGAAATGCATTTATTTATAAAACGAAAATAATATAACGTAAAATTATAAAAGTATACTTTATGATATACTCGGGTGGGTTGTAGACATTACTTATTTTTTTCTTAATGGTATCATGATTTTTGATATCATTCGATATAATTATTTAAATGATTTCATTTTTATTTTAAATTAATAAAGATTCGGAATACTATATAACGAATCAAACAAGTACTTTGCTTTATCTACAATTGTCATAATATTACATTTTTACATTTAGAGATTATTACGGCGAAAATATTACAACTATTTCAAGGAACAAGAGTAATAAAGATTTTAAAAGAGAAAACAGGATGGATTTAGATAAATTTGTTCCGTTTTTAAATAAAACGCAATTGCAAGAAGGTAAGGGTACATAGATTTTTCTTATGTGGAAATTTGAAAAATGATAATGTGTATTTTTAGGAATTTCTTCCTATAAAATGTCACTTCAAACTGCTGGTATTGTCGTCATCGTAGTGATAATTCTAACTTGCTGTTGTACATTGTATTTAAGAAACAAGTTAATGGCCTTAGTACATAGGCTAGTAGGAAAAAAGACAAAAGATAGGCAAAAGTAATAGAACAAAAATTCTTATTTAAATCTATCTAACAGATATATTAAAGTTTATGATATAAGAGAATATATATATATATATATAATTCTCGAAAATATTCGAACAGATTAAATTTTACAAATATACATATTTTATATTTAAATTTCATATTAATTAGAGGATTATTGCCGGTGGATCTTGAAAAAGGTAAAGGAGAATTGAAAAGGGGTGCAACGAGTCTAAGAAAGCTGCAGAAAATAGAAACCAAGCCAACAATTGAAGATGTAACTTATCCTGCACCGCAACATGTTATGACAACAACTTCCAGCGTTCAAGCAAAACCATCATCAACTACATGTTGCAAATGTTTTAAAAAAAAAAAAAAGAAAACTCGAAAGAAGCACAAACGATGATAAAAATTAACTGTTGATTTTATTATTTCAACAATTTATAAGGAAGAAAATGATATCAAATCCTTATCAATTATTGTATAATTGTTAGATAAATACTAATAGTTGATAAAATTTATAAATTAATGATATAAGATAATAAAATAGTTAGAAGGTTAATCTAAGAAACCTGGAATGTATCTATGCTTTCGTAAAAGTATAAACAAATATTTTATAAATTTTGAAATACACGATTATAAATATTAATAATTAAAAATGAAAAAATATTAAATAAGTTTTTTTTTTTTATTTTTTATAAAAGTTTTGAGAACATTGAATCTTGACTTAACTTTTTATCACCTTATACACATTTTTATGTGTAAGAGACCAAACTGAGTGGCATTGATTTATAAACCTGACGATCTTTAAAAAAAGATTCGTTTTCGATCAACATTTACTTTTTGTTTGTAATCTAAGGCATACATAATTGTAATCAATCAATGAAAAACTCAACTTTTCATTTAATCGTGTACTTATTTGTGCATTTTGCATTACCGTATGTTACTTTCTGTACGATCGATGTTAATTTGAATCAATTGAAATATATCGCTGCACGTTTAGATCCCTTCGAATGTCGGCGTCTTATTGCTGCTCTTCATTACACGTCTTATGAATTGCCAATGAATTTGGCGGCAGCAGGTAAAATAAATTAATTAAAAAAAAAATTTATTGACATTTATACGAGAGCATAATGATGACTTAAAAATTGCTATAAACGAACTCTTTGACAATTAAATGTTTTTTTTACTAACACAATGTTTGAATTTCTTTAAAAAAAAATGTTGCACGTTTTATGCTAAATTAAATTTACACAATTAATAACGAACCAAGAATTTTTATTACAATAAATAAATAATTTGGATAAAAATGTAAAGTTAAGAAATATAAGGATAACATAATGTTTTTATAATACAATTGTATAATAGAAATAGAAAACAATGAAATAAAAGTAAAAACAAATTATATCGACAGAACGAACAGTGGATGAGGATATTCCGTGTATAAGACAACTTATTCATTGGAACAGTTCACCGGCTGAAGGTCTTGGTCAAAGTCACGAAGCTTTGGTTCATCGACTCCGCACATTGGGTCGTGATGATTTAGCTAATTGGCTAGGAAAATCTACATTTAAACAGCTTGGAATGGATATGGCCAGAATTATGGATCGACCATTTGATAAATTAGGCGAACAAGAAACTGAAACGTCGTTAGTTATATTTGATATCAAAATAGACAATATTAAATAATTTATATGTAATCTAGTGATTTATAAAAAGTGGTTTAAATTTACATACATTTAAAAATTCTTTTTTTATGACATAATTTAAATTTATGAAGTATATAGAAACTTATTAATAATCTTATTAACAGTTATCCATTAACAATCGATCCAATTGAAAACCCCGAAGACGATGATTTTTGGTCTCAATTAAATATCGTCTTATTGGCAATTATGCTAGGTTTAATGGGAACTCTATTAATATTAATAGGATATATTATTTTTTATATAATTAAAGTGCGTTCTCGTAGAAGAAAGTACAGGTAAATATGCAATATGATTAGTTTTATATACTATTTAAAATTATTTCATTGTAATATATTATGTTATTATTTTAATATATATATGTATTTTTCTATAGAAAAATGAAGCAAGAGGGAGACACCGAAAAATTATTTAAACCATTTGAAAAGGAAAAACAGAAAAGCAACAAGGCAAAACAGATGCCACATAATATTGATAATTTATCTGATTAACGAGAAATATATTACAATAGCTTTAAACAGAAATAAGATTTTGTATAAATGTAATACATACGTAACAAATGTAATAGATGCGTGAATGTTCAACCCGTATTATCGCTATACTAGCGTTCTCTACCGAAATTATTTAGAACTTGATTCAAACTTTTCGTTTAACTATTTTTTTTCGATACGAAAGATAATGAAAAGTATACGATTAAAAATTAAGTATTTTATCATAAAATAAAGAAAAAGAATATTTCTTCCAGAAAAATATTTACTATAGATATTAACAAATTGAGAATAAAAATAAAAAAATTGTATTATTTTAGTTTTTATATTGATTTCTTGTTGCAACACACACAAAGATTATATTTAATTAGACAATGTAATATTTAGATAATTTTATAGAAAAGTATTTTCATGAATCTATATAAGCACATAAGTTAAAATTTGCTTATTTACATAAATATATATATATATATATATATATATATATATATATGTATTAATGTGTGTATCGGGTATTATTTAGGATAATATTTAATTATGTATTTAAAAATAAGTATGGATATGCGTACTTATAAGGTGCTTTAACATATCGATACTCGAAGTATCGTATAATAAAAATAATCGATTAGTCGAACAAGTAGAAGAATCGATATAGAAAGTAAATCGATGTAATTAGCGGCCGTTTCTATATCAATTTTACACCGACGTGTTTGGTTTACCATCATATTTTGTGATGTATTCATACAAATATAAACAGAAGAATTAACTAAGAAAAATATATTGTTCGAAGGGTCGAAATATAGGCCTAGTCAAGATAAATTAGCCATTTCATGATGCTTTATACTTATCTTAGCAACTCTATTATTGACAATTTTTTTGCGTAATACATGATACCGAGAAAACGTGCATTTTATTATTGGTTATAATAGTAATAATAACACCATGATAACTAAATTAAATGTAAATTCAATAATTAGGAGTCATTATTAATCAATTGAATTTAAGTGATATTTCACGAAATATGTATATTGCGCACTATACTGATACATTAGTTTCTGTAATAGCCTGACTTTTAATTAAGGTAAGCACTAATTTCAACATTTTGATTAAACAATATGTTCTGCCATTGGGGTTAAATCCGAGTAAATCACAGAAAAGGATGCGTCATTAAGAAAACCACAATATGTACATGTTATCTAAATAAGGACTAAAAATAATACATAATGTAAAATAAGATTTGGCAAAGCAAAGAAGTATCTATGTATTACAACTGTGTTTGCTTATAAGTCATGAAGGCTACCTCTGTAAAACCTTGAAAATAATATCTACTAATCTATGGTTTTGGATAATATGATTTGCCTTAAAGTTACGTTTCAATCATCTTTTAAAAAAAACAAAACTTAATATAAGAAATCTTATCTCAATGCTAATTTATAATATCATCTTAGACACAAACTACGATGGCTGACAACACAGAAAGTGAACAGTATCCGCTTCACAAATGTATCTTTCAAGGGGACATTAAAACTTTGAGTTCATTAATCAGAACTCACAGTCTCAGTCAAAAAGATAAACAAGGTTAGTCTCAATAATTTCATTACTATTTTGACTCTGAAAGTTTACACGTTCTGCATACGTGCATATAGAATAGTAGGTAATGATCTAAATTTGAATACATGTACATGTAAATAAGTATGTTTTAAATAAAGTATATTGTATCTTTTAGGAAATACACCTCTACACTTAGCTGTAATGTTAGGAAGAAAAGGTAATACGATGAGAAATTTGTCATTAATATCGGCTATATCAAATAGATGAATATAAGACTACTTTTCAAGTAGAATGCACAAAGAATAAATGATGTTACAGAATGTGTTCTGTTATTACTCGCCCATGGTGCACCTGTCAAGGTTAAAAATTTAGCCGGATGGAGTCCTTTGGCAGAAGCTATCAGTTACGGAGACAGGCAAACTAGTGAGTTTTATAAATATAAACATTTTTTATATTCAATATTATTAATATCAAACTAAGTAATAGTACTTTCTTATAGTATCATCTTTAGTAAGAAAATTAAAACAACAAGCAAGAGAACAAATGGAGGAAAGAAGGCCAAACTTAATAGCTGCTTTACATCAAATGGGTGATTTTTATATGGAGTTAAAGTGGGACTTTCAAAGTTGGGGTATAGCAACAACATATTCTATTATTCAACATATTATATTACTGCAAATAATTCAATATTTTCAATATTATTCAAGCTGTTATTTAATCTATAATAATAAATGAATTCTTTCAGTGCCTCTACTATCAAGAGTATTACCATCAGATATATGTAGGATATATAAAAGTGGAGCGTCAATTAGAATGGATACTACTCTTGTAGACTTTAATGATATGAGATGGGAAAGAGGTGACATATCGTTTATTTTTAATGGAGATAAAAAACCTGGCAAATCTTTGACTATCCTTGACAATAAGGCTAAACTTTATCAGCGTTTGAGATACGAAGTATGTTTTAATTTTATTTTAGTACGTCTATATAATTTTTTAAAAATCTAAATTAACATTATTATTTTTAGGAGACAGAGATTGAAATTGAAAATGAAGTTGACATTCTTATGTCTAGCGATATAATGGCTACTCAAATGTCGACCAAAGGTATAACTTTTACAAGAGCTCAAACTGGATGGATTTTTAGAGAAGATAAAAGGGTATTTAAGTGTAATAATAATAAATGATCGTTTTAATTAAAAACATGGAAATATAAGTTTCATGTGAATTATAACGAAATATTTTTTCTAGGAAATGGTAGGACCTTTTACAGCTGATTTTTATCAAATTAATGGTATGGTATTAGAAAGTAGAAAGAGGCGAGAACATTTGAGCGAAGAAGACTTGCAAAAGAACAAAGCTATTATGGAATCCCTTACGAAAGGAAATTCGCAAGGGTTTGCAAACGACGATGTAAATAATTTCGATTTTCTTTTCTTTTCACATGATATAGAATAAATAATATTCCTAATGTTTTCCAAACTTGTTTTAGCCTCCTATGAGAAGAGCATCGTTAAATCCACCTCCAGAGTCAAATATTACATGGGAAGAATACATACTTGAACCTCCAGGACAATGTCCTCTTTTAGGAAGGAATATGGTTTATAAAGAAAATAGTAAGCCTTTCAAAGCAACTGTCGCTATGAGTCCAGATTTTCCACTGACTGTAGATATGCTACTGAATGTTCTGGAAGTTGTAGCACCATTTAAACATTTTAACAAATTAAGACAATTTGTTCTGATGAAATTGCCTCCTGGTTTTCCTGTGAAAATCGATATACCTATTTTACCTACTGTTACGGCTAAAATAACGTTTCAAGAGTTTTCCTTTCGTGACGACGTTGATCCAGAGTTGTTTCAAGTACCATCGGATTATTTCAAAGATCCTATGAGGTAAGAACTTATTATAAATACTATAGTCAAGGTATATAAAAGCGATGACGATATAAACCGTCTTTAAAGCAATGAATCGGACTGAGGCTTCGACCTAAAGCGATTTTATACTGAAGCGGATGTCTCTAGGAGTAATATTACCAGAAATGGGTTTTCGATAATCTCCATTTCCAAAAGACATAAACGTGTACAAACCTTCGCACACAAGATCATCTATAAAAGAGTATTAAAATACAAACATAAGTTTGTCAATTGTTACCTATAATGTTCAACTGTCATAAATTGAATCTACATTTCTGTTTAAGAACATAAAATTTTATTCTGTAGATTTATATGTTTGTCAGAAAAGATTTTTAAAGATAGCAAGTGAGCGAGAGAGAGCGAGAGAGAGAGAGAGAGAGAGAGAGAGAGAGAGA